GCCGAAATGCAGAATTATACGTGTTTTTGTTGACCGAGAATCCTTATTGTCATATTCGCATCAGAAAAGTAAGTCACTCCCTATTTGGAGAATTCGATTTCATAATATTTCACGCAGTTTATTTTCTGACGTAAAGTAATCTACCCCAACATAAATAGCGATGTTACCAGTTCTCCTCATATGTCCTGCGAGAAGTCCACTAAAATGGGGAAAATATTGGTCGTGTAGAAGTGGGTTTGCGCGGTTCTGTTCCGCGGTCCAACTCATATGTACAACAGGGACCTACACCAAGCAAGCCCAACCAACGTTTGCGGTTCAATTATAAAAATCACAGGCGTGCTTAAGTTACTTAATTAGATTTAATAAACGTAAATCCCTTCTCTATACATTACCATATTTCACAACGGTGACCAACCATCCGCATATTTGAATTTTAGAAAATTATACACCATTCCACTTCCGAGGCATAATTTTTTTTAAAAAAAGATAATGATTGTTTCCTGCTCATAACGAGGAAACTGTTTATACGCGTCTCCGGTAAGGAGTCTATTCGATTTATTTATTGAAATTGCTCGATATTGGTATTTCCCCATTAAGTCCGCCTGACATAGTGGGCTCTCATTATCGAGATTGACGACCCGCTTAGAAAAGAACAAGTATATATTCAGTAAAAAAAATAACCAAACGCGCCTTGATAACGATTGCTTGTATGAATCTTCGACAGAACAAAGGAACAGTGGCCATCCTAATGCAGGTGGCTTTAAGCTACATTTCAGGGAAATTAAGGTTAAGGTTCAGTTTAGAGTTTAGGTAAGGTTGAAGTTTCTGCTAAGGTTAAATTTGGAATAAGAGTTAAAATTAGGGCCCAGATTAAGGTTTGAGCCAGGATATGTGCTAGAGGGAAGTGATTTTTTTATTGCCACGAAGGTTCGCGTGTACCGTGCATCTGTGCGGTCTGTCCTTATGTACGGCTTTGAATGCTGGGCTATGCGCGTGGAAGATGACCAAAGACTGGAGGTTTTTGACAAATAACGCATGCGGACCATCCTTCGAGTGAAGTTCACCAACTTCATCTCAAATGTGACAGTCCGCACTCGCTGCGACCATATCACAAGGATATCTCAGGCCATCGAAGAAAGACGACTGAAGCTGTTTGAACATGTTTTTTGTCGTCATCCTCACGAGCTCAGTGTTACTGCCCTCGACGCGAAACAGTCACCCGATTGGAGACATCGAAGAGGGCGACAGCTCAAAACCTGGCTCGAATCAGTCCGTCTGGACATGGAAATAGTTCTTGAACCTTCGGTATTCGATCTCCGGCGCCATAAAAAATAAGGGATTGAGTTGCTTGGGTCTACTGCTACGGATTTTCATGCGTGGAGAAGTACCATCCGGGGCATAATCGAGGCCGGCTAAATCAGTCGTGATCGCAGTCGCAACGACTCAACAACAACAATTTGCCAATATTTTACTTCCCTGAAATTGAATTCAAGGTCATATGTATTACGTGGGAAGGTGTTCATATTCCCGCGTCTTGTGGACAGA